CATTACTTTATAACAGCAAGCGTACACATTTTTGTGAACTGGCTTTATGTTAAATCACTACTGTGTGATATCAATTACCAACAGGGTGCATTCAATACATAATGTTCTATACAAATGTTACAGAGCACTCGATCTGAAGAACATTTGAACAAAATCGGTATTTCATTCCACTGGCAGTTAATAAAATAATTTGACTAGCGGTGTATACGGACACTGGATATGCAAATCTGTGTATTGGATTTCATGGAGAACACGTATTAAAAACAGAGTTGGTCTATATGGAAAGAAAAAAATGAGCAAAATAATTCTGATAAGGCTTGTCGAAGCATCTCACACTGTAACAGGCATGTGTACTATATGTCTGTTTTACAGGTGTGTGTGTGTACTGTATCTGTGTGTGCGTGTGTGTGTGTGCGTGTCTCTCTCTCGAAAAAACACTGTAGCTGTAGTTGCACACTGTTCTGTACACTGATTGATGGTTGCTGTCCATGCAGGCCTACATTTTTGAGTGGATTGGAGTCATAGCGCATGAGCAAACGCAAGATGGAAGACTGTGGATCTCTCCACTACAAAGAATAGCAAGACTCTCTGCACCGCATACACAGTCTGCAGAGAAACACAAACTCTCACACACACACACACCACACCCACAGATCCACTTCCCCACCTCCAGTGCTTGAAGATCTACCTGCCAGCTGCTGCCAGTCGCAGGGAAAGATGGGCTTTGTTGGTTTTGTGAAGCCCAACGACAAGACCCCCCTGGAGACTGCAGGTCTCCACTAAAACACAAGCCTCAGCCTTATCCACTCCGCCGCACAGGCAATCTGTTTTCTATATTGCCAGCCTGTATCACTGTACTATGCACTATAGAACAGCAATTGAGCAGGAAATTAAGTTAGGGGATCGGTATTTGGCGGAGGAGAACGAGCTGGTGTGGTCTTCCCTCTCCACATACAAGGATCATTAAATATCACACGACTTTCTTGATAAATTCCCTCTTCTCCTCTCTCTGCTGCTCCCATCAACTCATTCCCCTCTTCATACTCTCTTCTCTGTCTTTCCGTCTCTTTTCTTTCCTCCTCAATTCCGCTCTCATCATCTGCCCGTTTCTGTCTTGTCTTGTAGTGTATGAAACAAAACATCCTAATGGATGTTTGAACAGCTTGAGACGTGTCGGCCTGGGAACTATCTCCCTGTGACAGGGAGCTCTGGCAGGGAATTGAGACCTTTACGAAAGGAAATAGGGGACATATTTCTTTCTGTTCTTCTTTGTATATTTATTTCCGTCTCACTCAGCCCCCCCGTCTATCTATTTTCTCTCATTATTTCTCTGCACATACAAACAGAACTACGTTTTTATATTTTTGATTAGCAAATGTGTAGTATATATTTTTTGACTCCTCTTCTTCCCCTCTGTCCACTTCTGCCTGTCTCATATACTTGTAACTGTTTTCATTGAGCGACTGTGTGTGCAAGTGTAAGACGTTAGTGAGGCGAGGGAGAGGAGGGACAGCGAGCTAGGTCAGGACGTCACTATTCAAAACCGTTATACTTAACTTTCATTGGAGCGGTGGCAGTTCTGGTGAGACGAATCAGCGAGTGCACGTACACACAACCACGCACACCAGTTCTTTTATTACTCCGATGTGAATTATCGGTTTTATTTTCTGGCACAAAAAAATGACTTTTTGTTTCTTTTATTAACTTCTTAATCATAAACCTCATTATCAAACTAATAATTAACTTTTAGGTTAATTTTGGGTATTCAAATGCCCTAGATCTCAACGTATTAATGAAATGTATATTCATAGAAGACATTCATTCCAATGCTTCCTATTCAAACTTTGCATGTTCAAGTGGACTTGAGTGGACCGCAGCACATTTTGTGCTGGATACATTGATACGATTTTAAAACATTTTAATGCTAAAATTTAAATTTTAAATGAACTAAAATATCTATATTTGATGAATATTTAATGAGACTTACAACTGAACCATGCTTGTCCTTGTGTAAAGATGTGGATCATGTGGAAACAGTTATTCCCTATAATTGACTGACATTTTGAGTTTCTTACAGAAACCTGAAAGCAAGACACTGGCTTCCCTGCATCCATTCAGAAAGACAGCAGCAGATATTAGAAACACACTCACGGGGACAAAGAGCTCTTACTGCTACAATCTTAGGTCAATCAGTAGTGTTGACAGCTAAATTAACAAGTGCTACAAGCCCCATTACATTTGGCTCCTGCTTGTGTTACAATGGATAGATACACCAATACACTGTCAGACAGATAATCACAAACAAATCAATATCTATAAATAAGCGAATGAAAAGGAAAAATATTGCTCTAGAGGTGAATTTATGACCACCATTGGCCACCTGGAACACACACACACACACACACACACACACACACACACGACAGAGCACTCAAGGCCTGTGCAGTGGTCAAGTTAGTGGGAGGCAGTCAGAGAGATAAGGCGCCAACCAGGTCTAAATCCCTCCTGAAGCAGTCTTGATGGACAGACAGGCCACCATTAACAATGCGGTGGCTTGTGAGAGCAGCTGCTGATGGAAAGATACCCTGGCATTTGCTGTGTTAAGAAGTGGCCCTTAAAGATTTCACACTTCCAATTTCTTTGAATTATCTGCCATCTCCAGCCTGTCACTCAGCCTGACAATCTCAGATTCTTGCTCACTCAGGCACCAGGCTAGTTATTGACAAAGCAATCCGCTGTGATACAGCAAAGTCTGATAAGAACATTAGTCAAACAACACAACGTACAAATCCAGACCGCAACCTAGCACATGGGTGGATGCTCACGCTCTTCGTTTACCCTTAAAAGTCTAATAAAACACACTGCGATTCACGTAATATATTGAACTCACATGTGCCTGTGTCTTTGTGCAATACCCCACATCAATGATTTGGTGTGACATGAAACTTTGTGCCAACATAGCAGAGTAAAACTCTGCCATGTATCATTATTTGCTAGATTGCAGCGTACAGAGCACAATAGATTTGTTAAATTCCACCTAAGGCAGTGATGACAGCCAATGCCGGCATGACACTGAACAGACTGCTTATCAGATCTTTAATGGTTTGATTCGCTTGCTGTTCCAGACAGGCCATGATAGAAATATCACAACATCCCCATTACCCTCAGCATTCAGAACATAGTGCACAGCCTGTGCTTTCTATGAATTATTAAAAGCAGACAGATTACGCTGCAAGGCTGGAAGTCCAGAGGCATGCTACAGATGCTGCTGAGCAAAACGGTAACATCAGAAGTGTGTTTTTGTTCTTTTTTAAAGAGAGGGGGCTTTTTTAAGAGGCCTGCATGAGATTAGGAGGGTGGCTATTCCGTGTAAAAAGGAAATAGTAGGTGTGGTTTGGACGCGTGTGTGTGTGTGTGTGTGTGTGTTTGTTGGATGATGAGGGTGAAGGGCATAGTGTCAGGGCTTGTCTGACATGTGGCCTGGTGGGTTGGCTGGATGGTTGGTTTACTGTCTAGATGGCTGGGTGGGTGCAGCCCAGCACAAGCCAGGCAACTCTCTCTTTCTCTTGCTCTCTCTCTCTCTCTGTCTCTTTCTCTCCCCCGGAGTGACGGGCTGAGACATTAAGACAGGCGTTTTAATTAACTGTGCCACTCTTCCACCTGCTGCCCTCAATATGCTCTGGCCCAGGCAAGCTGTCTCTCATACCACTGACTCTCTTGCTCTCCTTTTGCTCTATCTTTCCCATCATTTTCCTACACTTTCTTCTGTTCTTTCTTTCCTTTTCTTTACAATTTTAAAATCTCACCCTCAATCACTCCGACTTGCTCTCCCTAACCTCTCTTTTCTCTCTCTTGTGCATCCCTCCTCAGTTTGACCCCAATAAATGAAAACTCTTACCAATAGATAAGGCAATTCCATGAGGCTCATATGACAGAATTAGCCAATTTCTTTTTTTGAACTTGCAGAGATTTAATTTCTACATGTGTCCTGTTCTACTGACCCTCTTACTACCCCCCCGCCCACACATACAGTGCAAGCACTCTCACGCTTTTCAAATCTATCTGGTAATTCAGTTCTGCCCAGCACTCATCAGGCTATTCATTACGGCCTGATTGGAGATGGATATTTCTGTTCCCTCATGACAGAATGGAGCTAGGGATCAAACTGGGGACATTGCAGGATTTAGAAGAGCCAATGTAACACACAGCTGCTTGTGTGCGTGTGTCTGCACACTTGGACATGTGTGTGAATGTGTGCTCATAAATGTTTGTATTAATATGTGTAAATGTATACCGGGCTGTTTAAGACTTTCCATTTAGTGCTGTGACTCCCATAGTTTAATCATTTAGATCATAAATTGAGAATTAATTCAAACAGAACGGAGCAACAAATGATCCACTTTTAGCACTCTACTTAAATTGTATTACACTTTTAATGGGGTTAATAATAGACGGCATTGGCAACACAGGAAAACGACTCTACAAAGTGTTGTATTAAAAGGATTAATGTCCTCCCTTCAAAAGTAAAGCCAGGTCTTGAAGATACAGCTAAAATTAACAAATTGCCAAGCACTGGCTCCAAGATGGGGCCTCAGTCACAGCTATACTACAGTCAGAAGACAGCCACTGGGGCCAATACATCAGCCAGGCAGACAGGGAGCATTCATCTGCTGTGTGAGGACAAGTGACTTTGAAGTTCTCTGCAGTGAGGTGAAAGAGCAGCCGTGGCCTCAACCTCTGTGTTTATGTAGCCGCACTAGCCCTGGGAGAGCTCTTAATGAATGGTGCGAATAGATGGACACCACAGCTACAAGCACACACTCACACGTCCGTGCGAGGGCCAAGACACACACCAAGGATTTACACATACTTTACGTTGAGATCGTGGACAGTACTCTGTGTCTGCATGCGCTAAGGCACTGATGGATTTAGTAAATGTTGAAAATGCCTGTATTACACTGCGCTAAACTAATACGTTTAAAATACAAGCAGAGACTAACCAGTTAGCAGCAGGCTATGCCAACATCCTCCAGCAATGTCTCTCAATGGCGAGCTTGGTGGCGTCACTTCCTCTGGGAGAAGGATGTTCCTCTTTATGTTTCCACATGCCCGTCCACAGCCCCACTGAAACAACCTGCCGTCACCTGCATGTCATCAAGGAGGTAATCAATAAAGTTTCCAATATGAGCAAAAAAGTAATCAGGTGATCAAGAGATTATTTCTGCTAACTAATAAATGCAGTACTGTTTCAAGGTAACATTTAAGATAGCTTAAAGTATCTTAGCTTAGAGTTCTTATTTCCAAAACAAATGAAGTACGTAAAGGTATTGTCATGTAAAATGACAGGTATATGATACCAACTGATAGAAGATGTTTTGGACTCCGTTAATTGCAAAGTATAGCAGGGGCCTCTAACCCCCTGAAGCTCATCTTGCATTCTTCTTCAGCACGCCTCTAGGAGCATGTTGTCCTTGTTGTGCTGCTGCTGCTGCTGCTGCATGGGGCCTCTGGTGATAAATTATGGATGCAACGCAAAAGCTGTAAAATTTGTTGTATCTTCCATTATCTTCATGTTAAAGGCCACAAAAGCTCTTCAGTGAAGTCAGCCATTAAGAAATGACAGGTATTGCTATCAGGCTTCTTTATAGCCTATTACCTGCAATGACAGCAGCTGCTGCTGCACCACTGTACGGCCTATCACATTATTTGCAGCTAAAGTCAGCTACTGTGTCATTTCGCCTCATTTTCTTGACAGTGCTATCATAAATCCATTGAGCTGCAGGGGAAACTGTCGACTACCTCGATTATCTTCATAGCCTGAATGAATTCTGAAATGTATGTAACAGGCAATGACTGTTATGGATCAGGAGCCAGGGCCATATTCCCGCTAACTCTGTCTCTCTCCCTCCTTGTCTCTCTCTCAGGAGATGTGCCGATCGAGGGCTTGAGGGCTCTGATATTTGCATAAAATTGAGTAAAGTAGGTGAACTTTGATGCACACAGTGACAGCTCATGAGAAGTGACGTCTATTCCTTGAAGACAATGTCCTGCTGATTTGTGCCGGTGCCTTTTACGGAATAAGAAATCGAGTGTAATAGGTGAAGGGTCAACAACAGGATCCACGTCTTGTATGTTAAAGATATTAAAGAAAGAGAAAAAATTGAAATGGGGCATATGTCCATGTGGACAACTAGATATCCTCAATCATTATCCATTGTAATGTTAATATGTTGATTGAATGGCGTATATCATAGCAGGGCTGCACAGTGCATTATTGTACCTGTCAGTGCAAGATTGTGGTTTGCCCCACAAGTGACCTTCGACACACGGTCCACAAACTCGACAAAGCGAGGGACGACCACATTTTCATCAGAGCCACTGCCAAGTTGTCCGTAATCATTTTGCCTGTTGGGAGAAGAGCATAAACACATAATTAAAAACATAATTAATTACCTGTAGGCATCATTCTCATACTGTTTTATCACATTTTAAACAATATGCAACATCATTTCAAAGCATGCAAATATTGCACACCTTTCAATTTCTATAGGGTAAAATAAATAATTAAATCAATTACACTATTGCAGTGAGCGGCTTCCACTGGGGACTGTGGAACATATGCGTTTCCTCCCATTTCTACGAATTCTCTTTGTGACAATAACGAGACACAGCCCTATCAGAAGTGAAACACCTCACTAACTAATTAGACTCTCAGGCTGAAGTCTGACAAAATAAAAAGAGAAAAGTGCTTGAAGGAAGACTTGCTCTCCCGCAATTTGCATCTGCCACTTTTTACTGCATCTGTTCCAAGTGCCATTCAACGTTCTCTTCCTCCTTTTGTTGGGGAGTGTTGAGCCCCAACTATTTAAGCTCACCTCCTACCTACCCAGAGCTTTGTTCCTGCTCCTCTGCAGACCAGTAATGAGCCAACCGCCACAAAACCGCGAGGAAATTAATGACTCATTACGGATGGGGCCTAGACCGCTCCACAGCCTCTCCTCCTCCTCCGCCCCACCCCACATGCCCGCATGTAATCCTCTCTCTCTCCCCCTCTTTTTCTCTCTTACTCTCATCCCTTCAGCCCATACAGAAAGACCCCAACACCTCCCTATCAATTAGAGCCTATTACAGGGCTCCCATGCTAGCAGGGCAAATAAAGAAGGCCTTCACAGCTCAAGAGTGTGTGCAGCAGAGATTGGGAGAGTTGAATGAGGAGCCTTAAGGTGCTCCTTTCACACCCTTGCCCTTATCCATTATGCCAGTCTGTAGAGCCCCCTAGGAGAAACGTGCAGCCCCCAAAAGACTTTGGGATGAAAATAAGTCAAGGGAGGGATTCTTGGTCACACCTTTTTTCCCTTTCCTTCTACTACATCACGTCAAATTATATCATAACTAGTCCTTAAGGAAAGCAACATGGTCACTGTGGTCCTCCTTAAAATAGAGTGTCAGAAAAAGATGTCAGGATCTGAATGGCATGTAGTAATCATACCATCTGTGTCCGTATTCATGGAAGGACAGACCGAGACAGATATTAACAAGATAAAGCAAATGGTGGACAAGCACCTACACATGAAAATTCATGTGGTTATTGATTTCTCTTAGTTTCACTCTGTTTTACCCTCCGTTGCATTCCCCCAGGCAATACCTACTTATTCACTGTTGGTCTTTGTTCAGAGCAAAAAAATACTGTCCTACCCTGCCAGCATTTTAGAATATCTTTCTTTCTTTTTTTTCCCTGATAGGATATGTATCAGCTTTTCATTCAAGCATGCTATGCTCATTGGCTTTTGAAGCTATGGTGCATTTCAAGGCAATCCCTCTGAGAGTGAATGGGTGAGATCACATGGGTTTGAGGTGGTTTAGAATGGCAAATCCTGCTGAAAGTGTCATTTCCAGTCGGAGACATCAATTTGGTGTGTGAAACAGGGCCCCGGGAGAGCCCGATAGCCTGGGAGATTCCTGACAAGAGCAAAGGGTCTGGGGATCAACTCATACGCACCTGGATAAGACAGGAATTTCACAAAGTGCTTCAAATACATGGAGCAGCGAGTGAAAGGAGGAGTAGAGCCAGAAACATGATAGACAACTAAAATAAAAGTGCAGGGAGAATGTAAAACAAGAGGAGCTCTTTAGTATAACTTGACGTCATATGATAGCCTTTGTACAGCATACAGTGAATTACAGTTATGCCATTAGACTCAATTGTTCTATTAGGTTATTAGAAAAAAAATCAAATGAAACATTTCTATTTATGCCTCCCAAAAAAAACTATCCAGCAAAACTAAAGCAAATCAGGTTAGAACCAAGGTAACTGCTTTGCTGTTATTGTATAGTTGTTTGCATTTAAAAAATACACTAAACAGGAGTTGATCAACGGCCTCCATCTGGGGAGGATTGTCAAACCTCATAAGTATGGTTAATAGGGAGACATTAAAACACTGACACGTACAATTTCAAAATCTAAATTACTGACAGCACTATTTCTGGCCAAACATTTTGGTAACTGTAAAACAGTGTACATAGGCAGAGGTATTAACTCTAATATAAAGCTATAATTAGCTAAGTGAGAGCAAAATGGCTGATAATTATTGTGCCAGCTCATTAGACTTGTTTTGACACTAAAACCACTTAAATCACTTCACAGCCATATAAACAAGCACAGATGCAAACTCACACATGCAGATGTTAAGCATGTATTCCCATCATAATGAGGCAGACACTGTACAGGTTGGGTTTTACCTGTTGAGATAAAAAACTAAACATTTTAACCTTGATTAAATAGGGTCTTACTATGATATAAGTAATTTATAAATATGTCTACGGGTGGTAAATGTAATGACCTCTATAAATGGCAAAGGATTGTCATGTCACAGTACAACATCGGACCAGTTACCGACGCGTGGCGACGTACGTTTCAATATTTTTTCTTTTTTTTACCTCCCAAGGGCAGAATACAGCCAACATAGCACAAAAAACACTCAAGTAATTTTGAGTCTTAAGAAGGTCTCAGCATAAAAGCTGATAATACAGAACGCAATAACTTTGTTGACTCTATTGATCCGTGAAAATATTGTCTATGAAATGAGAACAAAAGCAAGGCAGCATTCTGCTGTACCTGTTATACATCTTGGCTAATAATGATACAGACTCCTGAAGAATAAAATCCTTGGGGCCTGCCATGAAAGTTTAAGATTCAATGTGGTAAAATACAATGTGCTGTAAAATATTAATGTGTGTGGTAAAATTATGCTGGTGGTAATATTTTAGATTGCTGCTGTCTGTAAAATAGGCATATCTGTATTTATTTACAAGCAGGGGTAGTGAATGGGGGCTTTGTTTGAAGCCACGTTTATGAATATCGACTCAGGCTCCAAGGTAAGTGGCTATAAATCTGTGAGAGGATCTTTGTAAAGTTCCCTTGGAGGACATAACTTCAGGTCTAACCGCCTCCTTCCTTCACTTGACTTTTAAACATTTAGATGTAGCCCGGCCAACTGCATTCAGAGCAGCTTCTAAATTATGAAGGGTTCCATTGTGTGAGTCCAAGTGTTAACCAATCAAAGTTGATAAAGTGTGGCGATAGATTTCTCTAGGATAGAAACAGAGGCGTGTTTGGCCCTTGATCTACACTGTGTATGAGTCTGGGGAATTCTGAAATGGATCCCTGCATAACCTGCAATGTTCCAGAGGTTGACATGGATGTACTCAGCGGAATATGCTTTTAAACCCTTGAGATCCACACCATACACCCACACACCTTTAGATATGCTTACACCACATACTATGCTACACTATTCATAATTTTTCTTTTGCACAGAGTAGAGCATTTGACTTTTCAGCCCGGCCTTTTCATGCTAGTCTCTTTGGGTAAGATGATGAAAAGTGTGAACTACTTGAAGCCGAGAGCATGACCTGTGCTAATGAGAGAAGCATTACTTGTATGATTAAAAGATCCTGTATCACATAACTCATATCACCTTAGGCTATCGAGACCAGCTGGAAGAGTTCTATAGGTCCACATCGGATGAACCTTTCGCGAATGAGTCATTCACACCTTCTCTTTCTTCAGAGCCATATCTTAGACATGTTTATCTATTTATGTTGGCTTGTGGTTCTGAAGTTCAGATCACAGGGGTGATTGCATTAGTACTGGTGCAGCAGTTGGCTGACCTGGAGATGATGGACACAGGGGTCTGTATCCTCCAGCTATGATGATCACATTGGAGCCGGGATTAAGAGAACTGATTTCTTTCCTGGTTCCAGAGTTCAAAGGGCTCAATCAAAGTGTTTCACTGCTGAACTCTTGCCCCCCACTTTAAATGCATAATAAACTGACAAGTGGTAATAGGGTTGCACCCTATAAAATTATTATTATTATTATTTTTCTTTTTTTCTTTCTGCCTGGTGATGAACGCAGCAACAGTTGATGTCACCACGCAATAATAAATAGCTGGAAAGCTGCATTGATCCAGCCATCTAATTCCAAGAAAATAGCTTCCTCCTGAGCTAAATTGGATAAAATTGACAACCTACCATTAAAGCCCCATCCCTCTCTTTCTCTCTCCTCTCTTTCTCTCTCCTCTTTTTCTTTCTTTCTTTCTTTCTTCCCATTTCTTTCTCCCCAGTGTGCCTCCTGCTTTCTCAGGGCTAATCCCCGTAGCCTCTTCGTTTATGTAGACCTCAGCTATCTCCCTCTTGCCACCACTAGGTATCAGTTCACACCCTGAACACACAGAGCGAGAAGTGCTAAACAGGGACTTCAGGACATGTCACATCACACTTAAAGGGATTCACAGTGATTCAGAAGGAGTTCAGACATGGCAGAGTGAACGGTGCATGTTCACTAACACAGATACGGTATACTGCACACAATCAATTCTGTTTTGTCTTGGATTAAAGAATATTACATTATATGGTTTGACTTAAAGGACCAAATCATTTAAAGATAGAAATAACACCTCTGCCTTTTACCCAAATAACAACTTTAGTTTTCACGTTGCCCAATGAAGATTTCATGGCCTTACGTTTGAGTTTGGAATTTAAAATGTACAATCGTAAGCCTCTCTCTACTGAAGATTTAAATACTTTCTCTTCTGACATGTTAACTGCTTTTTTTTTCTGAGAGACCATGTGTGTTTGCAGTGAAGGTGGTTATAGCGTGCTTCTGATATCTAATAAAATGAGGCTACTTTGAGTGCTTAATCAGTCTTGATTACCTGTTGAACATTGCAAATAGGCAGCCTCCTGGCTCTCTGAGACATGGAGGTTGAGTTGCACGAATTAAAAGTGATGCAGAAATGAGAGAAAGAAACTAAACAAAATGCGTGATTATAAAATGAAAATACATATTTATATATTATATAATTATTGTACATATTTACTTATTGTATAATATGTTCTCATAC